ATTTTTATTTTGTTTTATATATTTTTCCTGGAATGACTCCATAGCAGTGCTGAGGAAGACAGCAATAAGTAGAGTGAGATAAGTAAAAATTGAAAGGTAAAAAAAAAAAGGATAAAACTTTGTTCCCCAAATAAATGTTTTCCAATATTGTCTATGGCAGGACATTTCACCTCTCCCAAAAGATATTTTAAATGAAATTTTAATTTAATAGTGCCCTTCAATGGAGAAATTATCTGTGTTTCAGTGCATCAGTAGAATTTTCAGTACTTTGGTAGATTTTTTTAAACTTTTTTTTACATTAGATTATTTCAAGGTGTAATTCCTCCTTTTTATTCTGAGTAACAATGAGAAAATTGTACAGCGTTATAGTAATATTTTACTTTGTCAGTTTAATTGTTGTGACTGGAAAGGCCTGTTTTTGTACACTTCATACTCTACCTGATAAGAAGTGTTAATTCATTATGTTTCTTTGCGAAAAGCAAACTTCAGAATCTATCAGACTTTAGGCAGTTTTATACTAAGTATCCTAGGCTAGTTTTCTTATAGTGTGTTCCTTTACCTTACACTAAGTGTTTGTTCAGTTTTACTTAGTGTTTCACTCTTTCCTTCTGCCACTGTCACTTGTCTTTGTTCTCATAATCTGGTAACTATTTTTTACTTGTATTATGAAGACTGCCAGATGAGACATCAGATTGAGCTGTGTATCAGTAAAACAAAAATTAGGCACCCCAGGATCATTAAAAGCACTTGGAAAAGTAGTGGACTAGTCAACATTAGAAAAACTAGATTTATCCTTGCAGTATACTATGGTACTCTTGCTAAGCTTATCATTTTTTTTTTTGTTCTATTTGTTGTTGGTATCGATTTTGGTATGCATGTTGGTTGGTTGGTTTGTTAATTTTGTTTGGCAGATGAGGGAGAAGCATAAGAAATGCTGCATATAGGAACAAGTACTTAGTCTTTGCTATTGCAAGCAGAATGTATAGATTTAGCAAACAGAAGTTCAGGTATCTGGCATAAAATGACATTCTAAATATCTCAGCATTCCAGTGATTTTTTGGATCCAGCTAGGATTCCCTTTAGGGAGCACTGAATGCTGTTCTCCAGTTAGTGGCATCTTACCTGTCCCTTAACCAACTTTAATGCCTTGTACATATGACACTTCTTTAAAACTCTCATCTGAGAATGGAGTCATGCTCAAAAAGAGAAAGTTAAAAAGCCACTACCAAAGTTCTACAAGTAGATTATTCAGTCACTGCAGCAGGATCTGTAGTTACTGTTCTGCTAATGTAGAGCAGAGCTTGCATGGCTCTAGGCCTTGCATAATAGTAGAGGAAGAGAGGAAGAGAGGCTGCAACTGAAAAACTGCTTAGATTCAAGTATTTGGTGGTATGGGTGGCGCATCCTGTTTCTTAGGGAAGAGACCTCCTCTTGTTCACTCAGCTAGATGAACTTTTATGTTTTCCCTTTATTACATGTTCTAAAGCTGCAGTGAGATTTGCTTGTCAGAAGAACTGGAGCATACTTTGCATATTTAATGTTAAGAGAATTTGCATCACATAACGTTAAGAGATATTGCATCACGTTTAGCATCTCTGCTGTATTACAGGATAGCATTACACATCTACTCTGCTTTTTTTTCAGACCCTTCATAACTGTATCTGACGCATTAGAAAAAAATCACTTCATTGTATACACGTCAGCCTTTCTTGGGAACTGAGGAGATGCATCACCAAAACACAAGCAGTTAATTAGTCTGGAGTACTACAAGACAGAAACATGGAGTTTTTCCCAGTGTTATGCACTTAGCAGCAGCAGCAGTCACCTCCAATGCCAAAATGGGGAGGCCAGTAATTAGCTGTTGCTATTGAAACCTTTCTCCTTTAGGATATCATCTCTGAGGAATGATTGTATGCGTTGTACAGTCTGATTCTTTGAGGTGTGTAATGCAGCATTGAAGACATTAATTTTTTGTCTAATCCTTAAAGACAGGCAACAGGGATTTGTGTAGTTCTTGCAACTGCATACATATAAGTCTATCTGTACGCATATCAGGAATCACTCTTTAAAAGACTGCAAATCAGGCAAGTTTCAAATTTCAAAATAACTCTTTACTGCATTGACATTCATTAACAATATGCACAGCTGATGATTAGATCTTAACCACTCTCCACTGTTTTCGCTCCATAGAGAATACAATTAATCATTAAAAAGTTTGTCTACAATTACCTGTGAATATATGATGCCAGGGAGCTGATGCCAGAAATTAGCACTGATAGCTGTGGGACTTGCTGGACTTAGCTGCAGAGGTCAAAGTAATGAGGCTTGAGAGCTCTCAATGAGAGAACTGCAGTGGACTGAAACTTTCTTCCCTAACCTTCCAGTTTCATTGCTTTATGTTCCTCAGTCTGTTTCCCAAAGGAAAATAGAGAGACTCGATCTGTTTCTGACATACTTCATCCAAATTTTTTGGACCAGGACTCATACTAGTTTTGTCAATCAAAAACAAGCATTTTTCTTGCTTGTTCGGCAGGATTATTCTAGTTGTACCAGACACTCTTCCTTAGGATTATTTTGGCTTTACCATGTCTATCCTGCCAACTTTTATCCTTATTCTCATCTTGCAGATTTTACAATGTACATGCTTTCATATAAGACCCAGTTCATCTCTTTGTAATTGCCTATTATTTATGCTTAGTGGCATTACAGTGTTTCCAAAAGATCAGGTACAGTCACTCCTTAAGCATGGGTTTATGCCTTTGTTCAAGGGAAGCAAATGTTAAATAAATACATCTTGCTGAATCTGCTTCTGCTTCATGGGTGCACAATGCTTAGCTGTGAAACCACCTACTCTAGACTTGGGACAGAAAGTTATGATTGACTAATTACAGAACATTACATCAGAAAACAGGGAGCTGACAGACCTAATGAATTTCCATTGTCCTAGACACAGACTGAAAAGGTGAAGAGGGACAGGAACTGGTATAAGTACCGTGATCCACACTTAGTCTTCATTTTAGTTCTGCTGAGGACCATTAAGCTCAACTCCCAAGGGGAGGGAATGCATAATTATTTTAACCGTGTGATAAAAAACAGACATGGGACTTCCAGTATTTTAACCAGTGTAATGTAAACTGTAGGTTTTTCTTGTATTTCTGCATAGATCTGAAAATGAAGATAAACTGCAGTAGTCTTTCCTAGGCTACTCAGTTTTATTCTACCATATATTTTGTCTAATATTGTTTGAAATCTTCAAATTGTTTGAAAATGAGTTACACTGAAAATTGGTTCTTTAAGAACAGAGAACCACGTTAAATGAGCAATTGGGGCAATCACTTACTGCTCAAGTTCGGTTTATATTTTATCATCTGCTGTCCTGCTCATAATTTAAGTATTATAAAATGCATGTCAATTGCATGGCATTGCATGCCTTCTGATAAAGTGATTCTGAATCAAAATGCTTTCATCACTATTTTAACTACATATGTAGTTCTATTTATTAAGCAGACTTTCATACCAATGTTCCTGATTCAAACTACTCCAAAATCAAATGACTGCATTTCTGTTCTAGTACCTGGAGAAACAAAAGGGTTTGCATAATCAGGTGTCATGCAGCACTCTACCCTGTTGATGGAGCCTCTACCCATTGGGACTTACTCTTTTAAATTCTGATGTAGTTGTCTTTTATTTAAACTCAAATTTACACCAGATATGCATCTACTAGTTCATGCCACAAAACTGAAGAATTTAAACAAACAAACAAAAAAAACCTATATATTTTAAATATGTTACTATTTCCTTACTTTTCCCCTTCAGACACTTCCAGACTTCTTTTAGCTTGATCATGTGCTTGATCATATTGTAGTTCATACTTCAATAATATCTTCTGATTCTTGTTAATGTTTTTAAAATTTTGATGGAACTTTTAGGGAGGAAAACCCTTCCTATTTGTTTTCTTTAAATCAAAGCAAATAAGAATGTAAGATGCTTTTTTTTTTTTTTTAATTAATTCAGAAAGTGAATGCGGTGTGTCTAGTTTGAATGGTATTTTCTTCAAATTTTGCCTATTTCTACTAAGATGCTGCAGTAAAACAAAACCAAGGAGGACTTTATGGCATGAAAGGAAATTAAAAAAAAAATCCCATTCACTGTGTATAAGATATTCTGTGAGACCAGGGATACTTGGTCTTTGCTTAAAAATTTAGAATATTGTAAGAATCTCTGTAGTTAACCTAGTTTTCCTGAATAAGCTGTGCATTTGAGCATCATATTCCAAAATAAATATTTGCATCTTGATATGATCCATTTTCTAGTGAGTAGAGCAAGCTCTTCTCTGATGTCTCACTATCCCATATGCAAATGCAAAATTTATTTGTCGTTCCTTTAATGTTGGTATTAGAATCAATGAGGTGTGTTAAACTTGAACTTTGGATAACAGGAAAATAACCAAAGCTGTTTTGGAATAGAATAATTAAAGATAATGCTTCATATTTGAAAGGGTGAAATGTGTTTTAAATTTCTTTCAACCCAGGCTTGGGGATTGTCTTTAGCTGCTGGAATAAAATAAATCTAAATTTCTGTTCTACAGTTTCCTGCATATTGCATGTACACAGATAGACATTTAAACCTTTATTGGGGTATGGGTGTGTACTCTGCAAAGGTGCAAATTTTTATCATTTCCTATGGAAGCCTGAGTAAAATGTCTTATGTTAGTACTTTATTGAAGTATCATGATCATCCTTAAAAATTCCCAAAAAGTGTTTTTTAAAAAAAATCATCAGAAATTAATTTGGCCCTTTAACAGATATGTATCTGTTTGTAGGTGGATGTAATTAGCTCTACACAAAATAACTATTTGACAATAACTATGTTGGTAATGTTTTTGCCATTACCAGTGTAAACTGCTGTGGTGGGTTGACCTTAGCTGGTTGCTGCAGGGAAATAAATCCCTGCTGTAGTGCAGCCTCCTGCCCAGGGGCTGCAGGGGGATCTCTACTCCGGCTCCTGGAGCCCCTCCTGCTCTCCTCCTCCTCCTCATCCCCCCCCTCTCCCCCAGGTGCCGGCAGGGCTGTTTCTCCCACTTCCTTTCTTTCTTTCTACTGGCTGCCGGGCAGCGCTGTGCCCTCCTCCCTTCCCCAGGCTGTCCCTGAGGTGAGGCGCCGCCATCTTGGCTGCTGGGCCCAGCCGTGCCCTGACAGGGGGCCACTGGGGCCGGCTGGGGCCAGGACTAGAGGGGAAAAAGGACCTGGGGGTGTTGGTTGCTGAGAATCTAAATGTGAGCTGGTAATGTGCACCTGCAGCCCAGAAAGCCAAACAAACTTTAGAAATAGGTTGGATTTTGACATTTTGTCCTTTCTTCTTTCATCTTCTCCCCATTTTTATCCCCCCAGCCCTTAGCTGGAAAGTAGGGGGGAGGAATAAGAGAACACGTGGAATACGTAAATCTCACCCCTAGGACTCTGGTTTGTTCCATGCCAGGTATGAGAAGTTTAATTCCTAATCCATTCTCTTCTTAAGGCTTTCTTAATCAAATATTTCTGTTCACTGTCAGAGCTTAATGAATGAAAAAAATGTTAAAAAGAGGTAATCATTCTGTTTTGTCCATTAGTTGAGCATCAAATTCTACAAGATTAAAACTATTCCCTTGACATTCCTCTTCACTGGTATGTCTTTGCCCCACTATTCCATGTGCGCACAATACTTCTGGGCTTGATCTGTCATTAGCAATGCTGAGAACTTACAGGATTTTCTGAGTGCTATTTGTCATTTTAAGTAAGCATTAATGCTTCACGCTGACTGATTGCAATAACTCTGACAAAACATTTTCATGATATCCTAGTAGAGAAAGTGTAGTGCTTAATAATGTGTCTTATGAGTGGTGTAAATTAAATGTCAGTGTATTCACGAAGGTTCTTCAGAGGCTTGAATTCCAGAGGGAGCTCTTAAGGTACTTATAATCTCACTGTATTTGTCTCTTGGTTAAAACTGCATCATCTCAGAGTAAATATTGTGTATGCTACTTCAGTCAAAGGTTGTTGTATTAAAATCTTTGAGGTATCTATGGGTGACAGTCTTGGAATCTGTTTTATGCTGTCTAGCAACAACAAACACTGATTATGTAACTATAGTAAAATATATACAAATGTGTAGGATACCCCTTTCCCCCCCACACCCCAAAGATTTTGGTGATATGTTCATGGTAGCAGAGAAAATAAATTTTACATGCTAGGAACAGAACAAATATTTCTGCATAGTTCAACTGCATCTATTGCAACACGATCTCAAACTTGATTAAAATTCTAACTGTAAAGTTTTGAATAATTATATAATTACTTCAGGCTGAGAATTTGAAGCTGTATGTGTTAATGGATCATCCACAAATAATTCTAAAACCCATTCTGCTAAAACACCTAGATTTAGTTAAGTTCAGTTCCTACCAGGAAATCTATTTTCAACAAATACTTTGGTTTGGTTAGCTCTGTGCTCTTATGTTTGTATTATAACTGTAAGCTATCATATCTCCACTAAAAATATGGTAACTGCTGAGAATGATTTTATAAAAAGGTTTTATATTATGGTATTAATTTATTTACATTATTTAAATGATTTTTTTTAAGAGGTAAAAGAGAAAAGCATACTAATATACAGTGGTCTGGGGCTGTAACCCTCATGAAACTGTGTAGATGCCAACTGACTGCCTTTGGCAAATAGACTTTTGTAATAAAAAGCTCTGTTTCTGAAATGAACTACTTGATCTGCAGAACAAAACTGCAGAAGGCTTTAGTAACAAATCAGGACAGCTGAATGCCTCTTCTGTCCTTGCATCACTGCAATTCTGTTCTGTCCCTCTTGATATTATCTGTGAAATAGAGAGAGAAAACTGGTTGATGCATCAGTAACCATCATTTGATTTGATATGGTGAATAAAAGACTTTGTGAGAGTAAAGGACGAGGCAGATAAATTGAGGACAAAAGCAATATCAGCATCTAGAAGAGCAAGCATAAAGTTAACACTGAGATTTGGAAGTAAGAAAATCTGAAGAGCATATTTATACTGATGCAATATTGAAAAATGAAGAGGCCAACTAACTCTGCCTGCTTCTAGTTTTTCAATCACTGTGGAATGTTTTCTCACGTTGTATCTTCCTCCTGATTTGTAGTACTACTATTTTTATTTGGAAAAAGATTAATATTTAGCAATTTGAGGAAAATACCAACTTTCTTAAGAGTAAAGTTGAATGTGTGTGTGCATACAAAAATGCACATGTAATATTTCTGGTCAGATTTCTCTGAAGTTTTACTGTTTTAGAAATATGTTGTTGTAGAACATAAAGCCTCTAAGAAAATGTATTATCCTTTTTTGTGCATTTCTCTACAATTTAGATGATTCTGTAGCGTAGTGTGAGGGTGTGGGGATTGTTTTTTGATAATCATGATCAAGTATCTATTCTTAATTGGGTTTTTGAGGTTTGATTTTTTTTTAATAAACAACGAAGTAAGTCTTTTTTTTCATCAAATTGCCAGCCTTAAGCTATGGGTGCTGTTTTATGGCTGCTGTTTTGGAAATTGCCTTTTACTCTTTCAAAGGTATTGCTGATCAGTCCTGAATTTACTGCAAAGAAGATACTTGCCTCAAACCAGGAGTTGAACTAGTATAAAGAGCATGAATTACTTAACTCCCCCTGGGAACCAAATCTGCTTGCTTTACAGTGACCCTCTAGACTTCTTCACTCTTTAACCAGGTTGGAAGAGGTCTTGGGAGATCATCTAACATAACATCCTCCTCAAAGCAGTGCCAACAGTTGATTCAGAACAGGTTGCTCAGTATTTTGTCTTGCCTGATCTTGTCTTCAAGGATGGAGGTTACTGGATCTCTTTGTATACATGCTCCCCTGTTTGACTGTCCCCATGGTGGCTTGTTTTTCCGTATATCAACTTCTTTTTCAGTTTATGTCCATTCTCCCTCCTTCTCTAACTTATGCACTGTTGTAAAAAGCCTGGCTACAACTTCTCAGTGATTCCTCGTGGGTATTGAAAGCTGCTCATAAGCCAAGCTGAGCAAGCCCCAGACCTTTGACCTCTCCTCACATGGAAATACTTCAGATATGACCTGCTTGGGGACCCTTCACTGAGGGTACTGACTATTCCCTTTAATTTGGTGTCATTGGAAACTTGATGGTGTATTTGGTCTTTTATGTGGCTTATTGATAAAGATATTAAATAGGCTGATCTGATGTTGTGATTCATTGAAGTAGGTCATATGTGGTTCCTTCTTCATTGACAATGGTGGTTATCAATATCACATAAGAGTCCTACTCATGAAGTGAGAATATTGTCTTCAGACAATTTGCAAATGGTCAAACAAAGATTTAGTCTTACTCCTGAACATTCTTTTCCTTTTTTTTTTTTTTTCTTAGTTCTTCTCTACTGTGCTTAAGGATTCAGTTATCTATGATTATTATTTTTGTTAAGGTTTTTACCTCTCTAAAAGATCTATCTATATCCTTCCTTTGGAGAACTGAATGGTTATATGTTTTCACATGCACAAATCATCTTGGGAATATACTTGCATTAGCATGATTGTATAATTCGCCTCATAAAATATTACTTATCCACTTCCAGGATAACTGTGACAGTAAACGTTTTTTTCAGTCAAGCAAATTTCTAAACAATGTCCTGATGTGACTACTTTCTTTGTGTTACTAGGGATTCTAATAATGGTAGGTGGTAGTTTCCTGGCATATAGCCTAAGAAGTTCTTAAGGACAAGAGCTATTTTAAAACATTTATTTATTTTAAACAGCTTGGGTATGTTCAATTTCATGTTCATATTCAATGCTTGTGTGTGAAGGGAAAATGACTTGATGTGTTAATGTCCATGTCACTCTCAATAGATGTTAATCTTCAGTCAATCTTCTGAAAGATGAATAAGAAGCAGGTTTCTTTCTTCTCCGCCTCTCTCCCTTTCCTGATCCTGTCTAATTGTGGCTGATGTAAATGTAAGTATTTTAGTACCTTTTGTGTGGGGGAGAGGGATGTTTGGTGGTAATATTGTGGAAAATATTCTTGAATCAACAAAAATACTATTTTTTTCTATTGCCTATTTTTCAAGATTTATTTCTGTTTCTAAAAATCTGGAGTTAGAATTCTTGACTGGAAGAGAGTCACCATTTTTTGTATGGAGAAGGATGTTTTAGATCCTTTCCTAATTTGCTTCACAAATCTTTTGCTTAATTAAACTTTGAAGCTGCCACTTTGACCCTTTATTGCCATTAGCAGGGCTCTTTCATTGTTGTTACAGTTTACTGCAAGCTACCTTTGCTATTTGACCAGATGCAGTAGATTTACTGGAGCACCTTTTATCAAGGATTATGAATACCAAGGCACTATGTGCATTTTATTTATTTTACTTCCTGGTTTGTCTTAGTGGAGTAATGCTTCCAAGTATCTGAAGGGTTGTGCAACCTGCACATCTTAGACTGCATCCCTCATATAGTTTGGGTATTTGTGTTTGCGCATCCATATCTGCACGCATTCCTGCAACTTCACCACTTTACTTTTCTTGTTTGGGTTTGCTGATGCTTTTGTAGTAACACTTTCCTCCAGAATAATGGTCTGAAGATTTGGGGGGAAAAAAAAAATATATATATATATAGAGAGAGAGATAGATAGATAGCTATTTACATCTTTTCTGTTTAGTTAGTATATTACACAGAAATACCCAAAGGAAGTTCAGTGAATCTTTTATAATTGACTATTACATATGAAGAAGCTTTCCTTTCTAATATCATATCTTTGTACTTCACCTATTTTATATTTATGCTATCATGTTGGATGCTGCTTGACTTTCAACATTTGTAGAGGACTTATTTGACTAGTGACAGGACCCGCGGGAACGGGGTTAAGCTGAGGCAGGGGAAATTTAGGCTGGACATCAGGAGGAAGTTCTTCACCGAGAGGGTGGTTGCACACTGGAACAGGCTCCCCAGGGAAGTGGTCACTGCACCGAGCCTGTCTGAATTTAAGAAGAGATTGGACTGTGCACTTAGTCACATGGTCTGAACTTTTGGGTAGACCTGTGCGGTGTCAAGAGTTGGACTTGATGATCCTTAAGGGTCCCTTCCAACTCAGGATATTCTATGATTCTATGATTTTTCCTTTGGTGGGAAAGGATCCATAAATACCTGACTAATCCTGTTATTTCAGGAACCAGATGTTAATTCCAAACAGGGAGAGGGGAGAATTTCTTAGAATATGCCATGTAGAAGAGCCCTTAAGGGGGAATTTGGAGACAAAATGGTTGGCTGAGATATTTTTTTTTCTGATAAAATATGAATATATAATTTAAAAAAAAAAAGGGAAAGAAACAAACAAAAAAAATGGAATTTCAAAAATACTTGCCTGACAGAGTTAACACTTCTAAAATTAACTTGTCTGTTATACTGAAGTCTGAAACATCCATGACTTCACAGAATTCAA